CTTCTTCCGGCTCTCGGCTAAGCTGCACGCACGCTTTGTAACTCCTCATTGTAAACCCAAACATACATCAATAAAATAATAGTAACACCAATCCGTGTTACCATAATGTCAACAGCGGAAACAATAAAAGCCGCAGTTGTCTTTCGACTTGGCTGCGGGCACTGTGCGGCAAGGAAACATCTGGAGGATGTGCAGGACGAGCAGGAGCAGCAGGTGGAGTGCCTTCTTCAGATGAAGATAGCGGCTGACGGGGCCGGAAAGGTAGGGCGCGCTTAATGTGTCGTGCTTCTTTTCCGGCTCCGTTTCCACGCAATAAGAAAATACAGAGAAAAAACCAACCCAGTCATATACAGTTTCCCCTTTAAATTAATGTACAAAAAATACAAAAATTGGTTCTACATTAGCATACCAACATTAAGTTTTCTTTCGTTGTTTCACATTGTCATAACAATATTCCGCTTTCTGGCCTCTGCCTTGACGTTAGTAAGTTAACAAAAAATGTCCAGAGATAAAATAGCTTTGTCAATTGGAATCTATCTTGTGAAAAATATGTTATTTCGTTATTTCGATTTTTAATTTAATGATAAGCTTTTCTAAAAAACATCTAATGATTGATTAACTTAATAGATTTTTTCTCTGTGGAATTAGCGGCTTGAAAGGCCAGCTGTTAACTTCGTAATCCTACACCCAGAAAAAAGTAGAACGAATAATTTTAGCACGAACGTTCTTGAAAATCGCCCGAATAATTCTTAAAATTTTTAGACCGAACGTGTACAGAATAAGTACGAGTCATACTTGATAATAATATTTTAAAATGTTTTTTTTAATACATAGAGAAAACGATATTTTTCGCTTTATGCCTGCTTATAGTGTTTGTAAATAATATCAGAATTATTAAAAACAGTAAACTCTATTAAAAACTGTTAATTTAACATAAAAACAAGAACTATTAATTTAAAACAAGAATGTTTCGTTCTTAAAATGATTGGCCTAGGGGGTAAGTGTCTTGGAACATCAAACATTGGGTAAGCTATTAAGAACCCGAGCTCAAATCCCAGACAAAGTTATAAATTTTTTTTTTTTTTGTTTTTTATGTTTTTTTTTTCAAACGTTCAATTTTATTTAAATTTTTATCTAGTTGACCTCAAAAGTATAGCAAATAAAAGCTATTTGATTGCAAACAAATTGCTGCGAATTCTGATACGGGCGTAGTACACATCAAATTGTGATGCCAGTGTGGCGCAACCAGCTAATGCGTCTACATATCAATTTATCAATTTATATTCTCTTTCATTCTAATTTCATATGGAGTCAAAGAGAAAAGAAAAAAAAGAGAAAGAGACAAAAAAAATCATTTTTTAAAAAAATTTAAGTTAAGAAACTTTCATACTTGCATTAAGAATTTTTCGTACTCAAATTAATATCTTTCGCTCTTTCTTCAAACACTTTTGAGTACTTGGACTGATGACGTTCATTCTCAAATGTAGAAATTCGGGATTGAATAATTCGTTCTTGAATATAGCCTTTCGTTCTTGAATCAAAAAAATTCGAATTTACCCTACTTTTGACATCGTTCGTTCTTGAATTGACATCGAAATTCTTGATTTTTTCTATGAGTGTACGAGCCTATTTCTCACATCGGCTATTCCAGGGAAATCTCTTTGACGAGCAGGCTTAGTAACTGGATCCATATCACGGAGGAGAAGTTGCTGGTGAAATTGATAATGCTGCCATCTCAGTTGCGCCTCTTCAAAAAGTACTTTGGCTACTCGGATCAGAAATTCTATGAGCTGCGGCACAGGTTCTCTGTGATCTTAGTCAACAACCACTTCAGCATGGGCAGGGTGCGATCCAATGTACCCAATCTTGTCGAGGTGGGAGGTCTGCATCTCATTGAGCCACCCGAACCGTGTGACATTGAGCTGCAAAGATTTATGGACGAGGCGGAGCACGGAGTGATTTATTTCTCAATGGGCCTGGACATCATGGTGAAGTTTCTTCCGGAGGACATTCAGCAAACACTTATAACGTCCTTCACTAAGCTGAAACAGCGGATTGTTTGGAAGAACGAGATCTTTAAGATGCCCAATATATCGGATCACATATATGTGATGGAAAGGGCACCTCAACGTCACGTTCTGGAACATCCCAAAGTCCGTCTTTTTATCACAAACGGAGGATTGCTGAGTGCGATGGAGGCGGTTCACAGTGGAGTTCCGATGCTGGGACTGCCGGTGTTCTTTGACCGGTTTGGAAATTTGGAATGGGCGCAATTAGCAGGCATGGGCAAAGTCTTGGACATCAACTCCCTGAATGCAGATACCCTGACTTCCACCATTCGGCTTCTGATTGAGAACCCCAATTATGCTCTGAGGGCCCGAAATATGTCAAACACTTTTTGGGATCGACCCATGAGTCCTTTGGATACGGCTGTTTGGTGGACAGATTACGTCCTTCGAAACAGGGATGTATCCCACTTGCGAATCAAGGCTGAGGAGATTCCACTATTGCAGTACTATAATATAGACAGCATTCTCACTTTTGGTTTTCGACTGGTAGTGATCGCTGGATCGGCGATCTTTTTGTGCCGCAGTTTGCTACAAAGCAATAGTGTCAGACGTTTAAAAGAATCGTTTCTATATATAACTTCTTTAATTAAGTAAATATCTAGGTGGATACCAAATGTATGCAGGTTAAAGATAAAATGGTTTGCCAGCGAGCGGTAGTCGCCAATAATATACGCTATTTTTGATCTGCAAGATGTTCCGACATATTCGGGAAAGGCAACGGAGACGTCTTGAAAGAGATAGAGTTTTAGCGCAGATTAGATTGCTCGGATCTAGATGGCAAATACAATAATATAACATTAATGATATCTTGTTACTCGTACCCGATATCTGTTAACTAAATGTCTGTTAATTTAAAAACTGATCTCAAAAGTAGGCTTCGACTTACGAAAAAAACCATAAATACAATAGTATAAGTTTAGTTGTCATATAAAAACTCGTTGTGACACAATTTGAAATCTTATATGCTGATGCTACAAATTGTAATCATGTATGTTATTTTAGTCATGTGAGTCTATTTATTTTATTTAAATTTATATTTAAATATTGAATTTATTCTTTTATATTTGATCTTTCTTTAAAATGTTAGTTTTGAAAAGTTGAATTCTTGTAATGTAATCAAGCATTTTTTTGATATATCACCAATTTAACAACAAAATATGTTAAGCTTACTATGGTTTTGAAAAAGAAAATAAAAGAAATCAAATTTACTTTATTTTGAAAAAGTTAACTATTTCAAAAAAGAAAAGACTAAGTTAGGTCTTAACAATAATAAATGAAATTAACTTAAGTAATGTCTTGGGTAACTTGTTCTTCATATAAATATTTTACTGTTTACATATTTATAACCGTACAACTTCGAAAGACGTGTTTCAAAAACAAAGAACTTTTTGACGTCATCCCTGCGAAAACCTGTAGTTGTCCTTGATTGTCAGCCTCAGGAAAACCAGCTTCACTTACTGTAAATCTTCACATCTTTAATTCTTCCCTAGGCTTCCAGATCTGGTTTGCTTGCCAAAGACTTATGCTTTTCACTACTGTAACTTTCATATGCCATGACAATTGAGGCTTTGGCAAATATTTGGGCCAAACAATTACGACAAATGGTGACACACATTTTCGAGGCAGAACAACAGACGCGCACCGCTGACAGAATGCACAAAATAAAAATCCATGAACAGAAGTGAATATTATTGTGGTTGGTTTCGGTTTGTTTTTAATTTTCCATTTCGAGGTTTATTTGCAGAGGCATTCTTTTTTTTACGATCTGCGCTTGGCTAAATATTAAATCCGGCTGCAAAGCACCGGAGTGAGAACAACCGGCATCGAGGTCACCAGCCTCCGAGAACGATTAATTAGTAAAATACTGGCGGGGGAATCCCCGCTTAATTGTTCCGCTAATATTGCAACTAAGGGTTTCGACGATAGACTTGGGCAAGCGCTGTGTTAATTAGTTGGGCTTTGTGAAAAGTTCATTTCCATCCGGCGTCTGCCATTAATTGTTAACGTTAAATTACGCTCGCGGTCTCGCCTTTACAGTTGTCATTTCATTGCCAATGGCTAGTTTATTTTCCACGTTCAAGCCGCATTGCCTTGGCTTGTTGTGCCACAGATTATTAGTTGCATCCTTGATCTCAAACGGTAAACGAGACTGGCCATCTCTAAGCCCAGTGTCATCTGCTTTTCCGCGGGCCTCATAAATGGCTATAATTTCACGAGCCGAGCTCCAGATGTGAGCCAAAAATATGCCCAAAAAGGGGGACGGGCAGACCCAAGAATATGCTTGTTTTGGGCAGGCCACCAATTGCAAAAATTGAAATGGAAATATAATTTTGCATAATTATGCGTGAACCGGCGTGTCTGCGTGCCCGAAATGAGTACGGCCATAATTTAAGACCATAGAAACGCAGCTATTCAACCAATCTGTTAATCTAGTGTCCATCGTGTAGCTCGAATATAAATTAATATAAAGCTCGCCGAGGGAATACCCTTTTAGTCATTAGTTTTAAAGCGTTTTTCACTACTAACTGAAAAGAAATTATATTTTCGTTAAGTATTTACAGAATCATTGTTATTAGCCACAAAATATAAAAAACAAAACGTCGTATAAAATATTCAGTAATCATTACATAAAATAAAACATTGTAAATCTAGGAAGCTACTAAATTAAATCGATACATTTTAATCAATATAACAACGTTTAATAAAAACTTTAATGGGGTAAAGTAGTCAAACAGTAGTAGTCAAAATAAGCTCTTCGTTTATTACCTTTGAAAAACATCCAAGCAAAGAATTTTTAGGATAAAGTTATATTAGCTGCGAATTCAAATCATGTCGTAAAACCAATTTTAAAGATCAAACAGAAGGCTGGCCATGCTTTGCATGCCGCAGCGGGTTAAGGCATAAGCCGGAGCAATTTGACGCTTAAGCGCACCGCTGCACAGTCGCAGACTCAGTTTGTCGGCGACAGTCGAACGTGGAGCACGAGATATTCCGGTACGCGAGGAGTCCGAAACCGAAATCGAAATCGAAAGAAGTCGAATCGGAATGAATCGAATCGAAGTGGCGGGCCACAAACTTGAACTTGCCCAACACACGAAGCCAATTACACAGTGCAGCCAAAAGTGTTTCAGTGCTTAAGAGTGTACAAAGTAATTCCCAGAATTAATAAAAGTAAACGATTTAGTACTGATTGAGGTTGACATATTTACGCTTAGCCGACAAATCGCTTGGAAATTGCGCACTGCAGTTGCCATCTTGTTGAGTCATTGAGCAGGGTTCAAGAAAAATATGTGTGTCAAATATTTGTCTGTTTGCTGGTGAAATATTTGCACAGCCAGCTTTTGTTAATGAAACTTCGCGGGCCAACTTACATTTAAGCAGATGCCTTTCGAATGGCTCTGACAAATTTGAAAATAGTTTTGAATTAGTTCCGTTTTGGCCAGGCCCGGCTGCTTTTATATAATGGGTCAAGCGAAATTTACAGCTAAACGGCGCACGCCAAAAGCCACTGGGCCATCATCTTCGGCCAACTCTCGCTTTCTCACACCTCTCTTTTTTGGGGCTTATCTCTTCATTTCTCTCAGCTATTTGGCTTAATTTGTTCGTTTCTTTTTTTCTGTTATTTTCTCACTCAATATTTACCTTTTTTGTTTTGCTCGCCGCTTACGTAAGGCATCGCAAGCCCGTCTGGCCGGCTCCAGGCCAAGTCTTCCACTCCGATCTCGGCCCCCGAATCCCAGTTACTCCTGGTCGTCAGCTGCTATTCCCCCCGCCCACCTGAGTTTTCCCGACCCGTTTATATGGCCAAAAGCTGTCCCTCTCTTGCGAGCTCTCTTTCATTTCGGCCACCAGCTCTTCAATTGGCCTGGCCATTACAAAATAGCCACATTCTGCAATGGGAATAGTTGGCTTCCAGCCCAATCGTTACCAATTGGTATTCAGCATTGCACAAAATCGAGGCTAAATTTGCATACATTTCTTGTGTTCACAATGGCATATTTTACAGTATTGACTTATGGCCAAGAGAAAAGCGCACAGCTGATCGGCAGGCAGTTTTCTCTCTTTCAGTTTCTCTGCATGAGCAGCTAGTTCAACCACTTTCAAGGAAAGTGCAAGTGTTGCCATGGCATTGTGGCAACTGCAAATGGCTCAGAGAGCTCCGGGCAAAAGAGGCCGACAGCAATGTCGTGGCTTTCGAAAAAGAAGGAAGTGGCTCTGGGTTACTGGTTTGCTGGGGGCGTGCTCATTGGCAATACGTTTTGATATGGCCGAGTTAAGCGCTGCTGTTTAGGAAGCGGAACTATAATTAGCGCCCTGGCTGGATGGGCAAAACTTTTCCATTTTCGGTTGATTAACAGATTTATGGGTGTCAGAAAAAAAAGTTCGTTAGCTTCTTGGAGACCTTCTCGACCTGGTTTCCGGTCTTGTCATTCAATTAGTCCATTGTCATTGAGTCGCGCTTTTTATGTAAACAAAATAAAACAAATTCATATGCAGACACGCCATAATTTGGAATAAACTTAGAGCCATATGAATTACTAATTAATCATACGCCCTGTGCGCATGCAAAATATTTAGTGACCTCTCGTAAGAAAAAAATAAAAACACCGCAATAAAAACAACAGCAGCAAAACAAAGTTGAATAATGTCTGTATTAGTTAAAGACAAGCACAGTGAGCAAATTCGAAAATAATGGCAAGCAATTTAAATTGAGACCACTGAGCCAAGTAAGTGGCTCTGAGCCAAGTTGAGTATGGAGTCAAGCACAAGAGCGGCAACTAAAGCTGCCTCTCCATCTGTTGACATTCGCGTCTTTGTCTTGGCCCTGACCAAGAAGTTGGCTCAGAAGCGTTGCGCACTTCGATTCGATATTTCGGTTCGTTTTCGTTTTCGGCTTGGACATTGACGTTTGGCAAACACACGTCTTGGCCATAACACGGGCCATCGTCTAATGCATTATTCCGATTTGTTTAGCCAGTCGAAAAGCAAACGCACGATGTCAACCGCCGGACTAAAACCACTTCTAAGCCTCCTGCTCCTGGGCTTGGGCGTAATACTATTCTGCGATGTCAGCTCCTCGATTGCCATAGCCCCGTCCACTTTTGGCACGGCCATAGCGCGTGCTGGGAAGATCTCCAATCAGCTAAAGGTGAGTTCAATAACCCCTCCCTCATTCCAGCGGAATATATTACCGAATATTTGCTAGATCTATTCTAAAATCGTATAAATTAAGCAGAGACAAAAGAAGCATTACAAAGCGTGCCAGTTTTGGCCATTTCGGCTGACTCGGTCAGTTGTGTGACTTTGACATCGTGTCGCGAATTTGTTACCGCTCCGAAAGTAATTCACCACCTGAGCAGAAGCCACAAGTAGCCATTGTCTTTGCTTACGGGCAAATGCTTTGTCGTTTTGGCCAAGTTGACTGGCTGCCGGCCACTGCATTTACATGTGCCTGTTAATGGACTTTAAGGCACACCAAACAGCAAATAAGACTGGTCAATCGCAATGCTTCGCGGTTCTATTGTTTTATGGGGGAAGTGAGGGACGTGAAAAATGCCAGCAAATTGTTTGTTGGCACCGGCCAATTAGGCAGCCAGTGGCCGAAAACATGTGCTCAGGGGCAGGAGAAGTCTAGTGGGCCACAGCAATAGTGGCTGGCCTTCTGAGAAGCCCAACTGCATGCGAATCTCTCTGGCAATGCAATTAATTCAAAAGCCAATGCAGTGAATGACATTTGGAATATATGTGCATGGCCTTTATATAGAAATCGTGGGCTGCATTGTGCCTCCGATCCCACACTTTAAATGAAAAATGTATTATATTATATATTAAATATGGCAATTAAACTTCAGAAACATTTCCGTTTGCCGGACGGATAACATTGACTGATAAAAGGCCAACATCAACGACAAGCCGGTACAACTAACACAGAATGCACGAGCGCAAAATGGCCAAATGTCTACGCTCAACCATTGCGTGCCTTACATAATCCGGCCATAAAAAACAATGATTACAAGCACAAATACAAAAAAAAGAAACAAAACAAACCAAAAAATGTATTTAAAACACCAAACAGCCGGCAGACAGACAGTAACAAGTGCAGCTCAACAAGATGGCAAAAATTGTCTTTGGGCGGAGATTCGAATTGGGAATACCCAGGAAATGACTACCATTAAGATTTCCAAAAATATTGATACTTATAATAATAAAGAATATATTTTAATTTAGAAATTGCAACAATTCGAATAATACAAAGTCTGAACATAAATCAAACATATTCAAAAGTCAGCCTCAAATACCCGATGTTTTCTAAATCACACGGTACTTTAGTGACTGCCATGCCATAGCGAAAAATTGAGGAAAATCGAGGAGCAAGTGCAATTCAATTCAAAAGGCTTTAGACAGTCGAAGGTGCAACAGTTTCTGTCGGAAGCGTGAAGCGTTGATCCCGGGTGCTCAGATTTTTTGCGGTGACTGTTTCGTCGGCCAGTGTCACTCCTCCAGTGCGAGTTCAATAAATCAAAGTTTACCGCTCCTCCGCGTTCCAGTGCATTTGTCAAACGGTTGCATAAAACAAAAGCGTTCGAAGTACACCGTTCCCTGTACCTGCCCCCGAATTTCATCATGCAATGTCCCCGGAATTGGGCCCGTGGAGCGACGATCGCGGCTCTTTTGCTGGCCACCGGTCTAATTGTCTTGGCAATTTGTGTGCAGCGACCGAACGAATCCGGCCATCGAATCATAGTCACAGAGCGGAGAAAGTCCCCCGCAGCGGAGGCCTCGGATGGCGGTGAATTGCAAAATTTGCGAGGCGAAGCGTCGTTTTTAATCGCCACCACTACGACAATATCCCCGGAAAATGCTGTTCAAAAAAGCGAAAACTCTTCCGGGTCACTGGGCATGCGCCAAATCCTCCAAATGGCCCGTTCTACCACGGTTCGTATCGAATACGGTTCTTATGCAACAATTGCAGCGGTGGCTTTCTACATGCACTTTATTTCGCTTTTATTTTTGGCTGTCGAGCGTGGCGTGAAAGCGCCCATTGCATAATGTTTGCATTGTAAGCGGCGAAAATATTATTATGCGAGATTCGCAATGCAACCACAGATGTGGCTGCTCTCACTCATTTGCATATTAGTGATTTGCAGCTCGATGGCAAACGCCGCCGAATCGAAGAGCAAGATTGATTGACAGACTTTAATTATTTTCCCAGCACTCTCGAGCTTTATGCGTTGAACAATGACCCACTTCTTAAGCGCCTTTTAAGCCGGAGTTTGTTTTGTTATCGAACACACACGCGGCCAACAAGCGCATTAAACAGTTATAATTAAAGCCAACATCGATGGGAATATAGATAGGAAACTGTTATAAACCAGATACACCCACATTAGCATAGGCCACAGACCACACACCACACACAAAAAACTGCCAAAGTAAACACGACGAAATCTGAATGCCTTTCCAGCAATTGAACACGTTTTCGTGGCTAGTTTTGCAGTCCGGCGCATAGCCACCAAGTTAGTGTATACGCATACAGCACACGTAATTAGCATAACAACACTGTTGGAGGTGAACTTGAATCTCAGTGCTCCACAGCCACCAAATGGCGGCTAATTGTGTCATGATTCGCAGCCAGAAACAGGCCCATTTCGGCCTGGGAATCGAGATTGGCGTTTCCTTTGGCAGCACGTGACCCGCGTTGTTGCCGTTGCCAATTCCGCTGCCTAAGTGCCGCGAACAGAGCATTTGAGTTATGCAAATGGCATTTCAATTAAGCGTCGCAGTCGGTGAAGGTTGCCCGTTGGCAGTTGGCAGTTAACGCCGCTTTACAAATCGGACAGCCCCTAAAATTGTCATCGAGCCCGATGAACTTGTACTTTGGGCCCTAGCTTTCGCACAAAGCGCTGCTGTTTTGTAAATTGCTATTAACTGCACGGCCAAAAAGATCATTGTCAACTTAATAGTAACTGATTAAAATTACACACCAAATTTTCTCATTAAACATATATGTACAATTAATTAATTAGGGTTAAGAAAAGGTTAACAAAAAATACAAATTATTAAAATGTATGTTTTAAAATTCGAAAGTATCATTCAGCGAAGTTTAATTGTATAATTTTCATCAGCTTTGTAAAGTTTTAATAAATTTGAAATATGTGAATTTTTTTTAGTTCATAACATTTTAAATGATTGTCTATTTGTTTAGCCATAATCTCATTATTAAATAATTAAATATATTTATTATTATTTATTATAAATATATTATATATATTTATTATTATTATATTTTAGTTTCAAATTCAAAATTGGTTTTGAACAGGTTTGTCAAATTTGAAGAGTATCTATTTGTTTAAAGTCATAAGGTACCTAAAGGTTGTCTATTAATCAAGGCAAAATCTTGTTATTAATGGATTAAGTTCACAGTAATTAATATTACATTTTATTTTTAATATAACTGGGTCTTTTTTTAGGGTTTTCCAAATTCGGAGAATATCTATGTGTTTATGATCATAAGCTTTTAAAAGGTGTTCTATTATTTAAAGCAAAATATTGTTATTTAAGAATCGGCATGATATCAACTAATATTATATTTTAATGTGATTACAAAAAATCCCTAACTCCGGGGCAGTTTTAAAATATATCATAAGTAAAGACCACATTTTTCCCTGTGCATACTTAAATTTTTTATGGATTTGCAATTGCAGGAGACGACGGCCTGGAAGACCCTGACCTCGCATCCGAATTCACTTGTCCAACTGCTGCCGTCGAGGGCGATGCGAGTGGTCCAGGAGGTGGTGCGATCTCTGCGGGTGAGTGTTTGTGTTGCCATCGGCCTTGAACCGCGGTCTCGGCAAATGCCAACCACTTACAGCATCTTTGGGCGGCCAAAGTGGCCAAAATGGCCAAGCAATGGCCAATCAAATCTCAACTTGAACATGGACAGCTGGCCAAACATGGATGCAGGTGCTGTTTTGGGGCTGAGGTCGACTCAATAGCAGAGAAAGAGCTGACATTTGCACACACACACACACCCCAACCTGGCCACTAAGTCAAGAACTGGCAGGTGAACGGAGGCGGGAACTGAAATTTTGGCCATTGACCGAGGCGATTGCGCAACGTTGGCTGGGTTTCTAACTTCTACGGTTCTATTCGAGTTCGCACTCCAATGCAAATTGGTTGCGCAACTCAGATTTTTTGCACTTGCAAGTGGTAGCCAAACTATGAGGTCTCGAAGTGGATTTCTTCAACAAAAAATGCGACTATCATAATCGACCAAATCATAGCTACTATATATAGACTAACACTGTTTGCCATATTCATTCGCAGAAAGAGCGTGAGATCGTGGCCACCACGTCGTTGGGAAAAGTTAGGGGTCGCTACCAGAAATATCGATCTGGAGAGCGAGGAGGCTACTACAGTTTCAAGGGCATGCGATATGGAGCAGCACCCACAGGAGCCAGAAGGTAGTATAATCTTGGCTTACAAATATGAACTTGAGTGCAAGAAAATCCTTTTTATTCCAGATTCCGTGCTGCGGAGCCGGAGAAACCGTGGTCCGGTATCCGTGATGCCTCTCGGGAGGGTCAGAGCTGTCCGCACAAGAACATGATCTTGGACACCTTCAAGGGGGACGAGGATTGCCTGTTTGTCAACGTGTTTACCACTCGAATGCCCAAGGAAGAGGAGTCCGGGGAGCAGCCCAAGCTGCCCGTGATGGTGTGGCTGCATGGCGGCGGCTTTTCCTTCGGCTCCGGCAACTCCTTCCTCTACGGACCCGACTACCTGGTGGCCGAGGACATAGTCCTGGTCACCCTGAACTACAGATTGGGCCCACTGGGCTTCCTTACGGCCGGACCCGATGCTCCTGGCAACCAGGGTCTCAAGGATCAGGTGCTAGCGCTCAAGTGGGTGCGTGATAACATAGCTGCCTTCGGAGGCGATCCCAGCCAGGTGACCGTTTTCGGAGAGTCAGCCGGAGCTTCATCCGTCCAACTGCTCCTACTTTCGACCCAGGCCAAGGGACTGTTCCACCGAGCAATTTCCCAGAGTGGCTCTGCGCTGAATCCCTGGTCCATGTCAGCCAGTTCAGGTCAAAGAGCTGCTCGCTTGGCGGCCAATCTGGGCTATGTGGGAGCCAATAGTACGGAGGATATACTGGACTTTTTGCGCAGAGTTCCGGCCATGAAACTTGTGGAGGCCGCACCCACCACAATCACAGCCGAGGACCAGCGCAACAACATAGGTCTGCCTTTTGTGCCCGTTGTGGAGGGTTACTGGAATCAGGACTCGCAGGAGGAGCACTTCCTCGAGGAGCCCTTCCTCACCCAGCACCCCAGCGATATGTACCACTCGCAGAACTTCAACAGCGACGTGGCCTACATGACCGGTTACAATACACACGAGGCCATGTTGTTCATAAGAAGTAAGTTTAGTTTTTAGCATATCTTTAAGAACCCCTTGTTAATATAAAATCATTTTTATCAGGACTGCGCAAGAATCCTCAATTGCTGAGCATCATTGAGAACGACTTTGGTCGTCTGGTGCCGCAGGATCTGAATGTAACACAATCCCATGACAGAGTGACCCGTGAGATCAGATCCTTCTATTTGGGCAGCAAGCATGTGGGCATTGAATCGGTGGACGAGATGATAGCGGTGATTCTTCCTTCTTGTATTCTTGTAAACTATAAATAAATATTAATCAAAACTCCCTGACAGCTCCTCACGGATCTCATGTTCCTGCAGGGCATTCGTCGCACAGCCAGGAATCATGCCAAATTTGGCAATGCCCCGGTTTACATGTACCGATTCTCATTTGATGGAGCCTTGGGTCTCTACAAACGGATGCTGGGCATTCCGCGACCCGGAGTTTGTCACGGCGATGAGCTGGGCTACCTGTTCAAGTTCGGATTCTTCAACTTGAGTCTGGATCCCAAGTCGATGGAGGTGCAGGTCAAGAACCGCATGGTGCGCATGTGGACGAATTTCGCCAAATACGGGTGAGTGGCCTGGAAAAAATGGTAATTCTTAGGCTATAACTATCACTATAACTATTACAGCTCGCCCACGCCGGACATCGAGGATCCCATCCTGACCACCAAATGGGCGCCTATCGATCCCACCAATGTGATGAGCAGTCTCAACTACCTGGACATTTCGGCCAATATGGCCATGAAGACGAATCCAGAGCCGGAGCGTCAGAGGTTCTGGGACGAGATGTATCAGCATTATAATGGTGCTGCCATGTGAAAAAGGACATATACTTACCCTCACACAACACACACCACACACACCACACACACCACACACACCACACACTCAACACTATCACCCTCGTATTGCCATTTTGTGAAAGATCGCGCGAAAACCAGAATATTTAATTGCAAAAATTCATTGTACAATTTTCGTAGTTTGTAGGATTTGTTAGCTATATGCTTAGCTATATTATTAGCAGCTAGTTATTAAGTGTTCCAGCATTTATCCACACCAACACCCTCACAAACACCTGCCCACACTCTCAAAACACAAAGTCAAGATATCTTTCCTTACTACACGTGTATCCACAATAACCAGGTGTAAATAGTCAGTGTCTGTCTTATACATAATGCCAACATCTAACACTCGATGTTTTTGTAAATTAAAAGTATTTTACTAGTAATTTCGTTTACTTTGCTCTGGATTTGTGGGGAAACTTATGTCATACAACTTATGCCATACAGGACTACTAAAATACGTTTATTATTGTATAAAAAGTAGTTCAAAACTTTTCAGTCTTAGTGTTCAACAAAAATTAGAGAAAAGAACCAAATTCTGGCTTTACAATTTGGTAAAAAATATATTAAATATTTTTAAAATGGGTATTACCCATTTACATTACTTCAAATTTGAATTTGAATTGGAAATCATCTGCGCTGACCAAGTGTGGCAGTATACCATAAATGGATAAAAGATATATGTATAAAATACACAAAGCATTATGTACACATGAATTTTACTTACGATATACGATACATGTGGTTTTGGTCATCGATAAGCAACACAAGGCTAGCATAGACTCAACCCAGATTTTAGATCGTACGGAAAATTCAATTTACAAGACCACTTTACGCACGTGAAAAATAACAAATGGCTTAAACTTATGATAAAATATTTAAATTGATGTGGTGTGAAGCAGACTGGTGTGGAAAAGGCAAACGTGAACAAGATACAATCCGGCGCCCTGCTGCCCAACTTAATATTTCGCAACATTTTAGCAATAAATATACAAATCTCTCAGCAGGGAGTTAATTGAGAAAGTCAACCGAATCGATTACAGAAATAGCTCTTGCATGGATTGAAAAACCAATTACACCCCAGGATGGCCAAGTGCCACCACGATGGACTACAAATTTGTACTTTGCGCGGGTTAAGTGGCCCCCAACGGATTATTCAGGGGGCAGCTGCGAGTTCATCCATTGGGCGACAAAGCTGATTATTCAATTATGCCAGCGGCTTTGGCGCTCTTCATCCGCGTCGACGGCTGCCATTCACAATCTAGTGGATCGTAAATTATTCTGGGGCAGGGAATGACGGAAGAGCATTGAGAAGGTGCCCCGTTTTCTGCCGCATGGAAACCCAGTGAGCAAAGTGATCGCCTTCAAAAGGCTAGGGAATCACAACTACACATATATTTTTTTTTTCTAGAAAGTCACACAATTTTTAAATTTGTTTTTTCTACATTGTTAGTTTTGTAGATCATTCTTTGTCTTACGATTTCTTGAGGGACACTATGCTCTTAGCCCATCGGCTGCAGCCACACCCCCTGAAGGCGATGCGGGTATGTTTCCTGCGAAACGGCGACCCGTACTTCAAGGGCATCACCATGGCCGTCTCTCGGACCCATTTCAAGGACTTCGAGGCACTGCTGCAAGGGGTCACCGAGGCGTTGAGTCGCCACGTTGTCCTTCCATCGGCCATCGCGAAAATCGTTGGCGCCCAAGGGTCGCCCATGACCTCTCTGGGTTGCTTCGTCGAAGGCGATACCGTGATCTGCTGCTGCAAGTACGAGGAGTTGGTGTGGGTTAAGTATGGCATCAACAAGGAATTCCAGCGCCTGCTGGCCTCGCTCAGACGTTGGCAAGATCGTCGGGTCGTCGGCGATAGCCTTGAGCACATAATGCCCAACGAGCTGCCCGATGCGATCCAGTTGTACGTCAGCCAACTGGAGCCGGTGGTGCAACACGCCAGGACACTCATCCTTCGTGGACAGATGCAGAAGAGCGGGACGCAGTGCATCGTGAAGATGGTGAGCAAGCAGTACATGGACTGCACCTTTGGAGATCCGTACATAGAGCCCGAGGTGCTGCGCCACTTGCAGTCGCATCCCAACATAATTGAGCTGATGTACTCGGTGGAAGAGCCGCGCTACCTGTACTTGGTGCTGGAATACCTCGACGGCGATCTCAAGGACGTGGTCTTCAAGAGCGGACCCATTTCGGAGGCGAATGCCAGGTCGGTGGTGAGGGGCACGTTGGCCGGACTGGCGCATATGCACCGGCTGCAGCTGGTCCACCGGGACATTAAGCCCGAGAACCTGCTGCTGCGCTTTTCATCCGAATCGGGCGAGCTCAACATGGTCAAAATAACCGACTTTGGCATGACTGCCTACTATCGAGGCAGCAAGTTGTACTGCTGCTGTGGCACGCCCAGCTTCATGGCGCCGGAGGTGATCGCCGAAGCGGGGTACGACTACCAGGTGGACTGCTGGTCGCTGGGCGTCACGCTCTTCTACATTCTGTACGGAGTGCTGCCCTTCGGCAATCTCCATACAGTTGTGGTGGATGTGTTTGCGGCCATCATGAGTCGAGAGCCCAAATGTCCAGAGGGCATGGAAGGTGTCCTGAGCTCGGAGGCCAGGCAGCTGATCGATGGACTGCTGCAGAGGAACCCCAGCAAAAGGCTCACAGTCGCAGAGGCCGCTGTGCATCAGTTTTTGCAGTCTTAAATTTTGAAGTATTATTTAAGGCTATCAAGTAGTAATAGAATAGATTTCACATCACAAAGGAGTATGATTTATGGTGGCGGTGAACGGTTTTAATTGGCTTGATGCCGTGGAAATCAACTACGCATGACGATGCCGATGACTGCACACAGCCACACTTGTCCGAATATATCTCAGCTATTAACGTCACAATTTATTTACTATTTGTGTTTGCCCAATGCAGCCAAAATGCGCGTGAGTCTGGGGGTAAACACTCGGATATTACGTATACGACACCTTGTACTCGAATTCGAGACAAGATACAAACGAGGGCCATTGTTTGCGCTGTCTACTCAAACAGAGAGACAACCTCTGATAAATCAGAACTTTCCGGCCTGGCCGATCGATCTTGCGACACTTCGTGAGGGGCATACAAAACATCAAGCATACGCCACCCCTTCCGCGCTGAGGGCTCAAGGTCGAGTGCATTGAGAAGTGTCGCTGCCTTCTGATTCCGTAGATAAGACGAGCTTATCGCACTTATCTTCCGCTTCGCTTTCAATTTACGAATCATTCCAATTGAACTTATTCCGCGGCAAAGCCACAACTTGTATCTTTCAGCCACAGTATCTGTGAGAGCATCACCACCGATATGCAGTGTGAGAAATGTCGTGTGCGTTGTGTGCACGTAATTCCCTCTCTTCCTGCACGTGTGTGTGTGCTCATTTACAGCTCGCCGCTTTCTGTTCACTGTTCACTTTTCACAACTTTTGTTTAGTTGGAAAAATGTTCTTTCAGTCGGCCGTCATTTAATCCATTGGTCGGACTTGCGGATCCGCAGATCTCGCTGTGACAGTCGCTTTTGTGGCTGCGGCTGTGATCTCCCGGCCTCAAATCATCTCATTCCTGGTCCGACACGCGTCGCCAAAAACAGAGCGATATAATTCCGCTCGTTAAATTATAATTTCGTATTTATTATATCGTATATTCGCGCTACTAAATCTAAATGCCGTTTTAAAGTGCCTGAAATATGTTTAAGCTCTTTAACAAAACAATGGCCAACTAAAAAATAATCGGCTTAAAGGTGTCAATTAATTGAACATTTTGGAGGTGCTAAAATTACTTAAATCGAAACGTGCCAATCGCTCGAAATTCAATAAAAAATTCACGGTGCGTGTGCTGGTTATCCAATCATATTTAATATAGTCCCAAGTGCTTGCCTCGAATCTTGTGAAAAGTTCAGAAAGGTGTGAAAATTCAAACGGGTTGCGGAAGTGTTTAGTAAATACTTATGGTATTTAAATTATTCATTTGCCTATAAAAGTCTTCAAATAATTTTGCAAATTTCTGCTATTTATATGGTTGAGTTGGATGGCAAATGTTTACTATTTATATCATAAATATAATAAACTAACTATCAAACTGATAACAGATTTCGTGGCTTACTATGCCAGCAAACCGCAGAAACCTGTGAGAATCAGCTGACGCTGATGGCAAAAAAAATAGATTTCTCGCACCTGTGTTGCACTTATCACAAGTTTCTGTTTGCACACTAGACGCTTGAGTTACCTATGCCAAATAAATTAATTGAAACGGCAAATCCCTCAGATGCGATTCAATTTCTCCACCCACTCGGCGGCGCCCACCTCAACGGCCACAACAACAACGCAGGCAAATGGCGGGGACAAGGCCGCCCAACCGCTGAAGAAGTCCGTCGAGCCGGATCCCGATTCGCTGGACAGTGTGATCAGCAATCCGCACTCCTATCCCATCACCATTGTGCCCAATCGGCCGACCAGCTACTTTGGCCTAACACAAAATGGCAAGCCGTTTCCGCGCCAACCGAGCTGCAGGTGAGTGACAGCTATTCTCCATTCCCTAAGCTATTTACCCGACTTGAGAGTTTCGGTCAATATCGGTCAATAAGTGCCGATTAGTTAGAGCTGCTCTAATTGTTTGGGCAAATTCAGACCACTTTAACGTTGGCCTGGGCGAAATCGCGTGTCGAGGAGCTTCAGTTTCGTTCAATACCGCGAAGTTGGAACGTCTAGCCTCTAGAAAGATGCAGGTGCCGCTCAGCGATGTCCAGGTCCTGCAGGATCGCACCGATGCCGAAACCCTCGTCGGCGGCGGCGACAAGGAGGAGACCTTCGCCCACATGAAGGAGTGGAAGCGCCAGTACATGCGCGGCATCTCGCACACGCCCTCGCAGGCGGGCGTCTACTACGAGGCCTTGAAGGGATCCAGCCACTCGTTGGCCAAAGGGTGCGCAATAGAAAAGTTACAGCCAGAAAACCGATTATTTCTTTTTTGTCTGGCAGACCCTTTGGGCTTTAATTTCATACAATTTTTAGCCTATTCAATATAATTAGTTTTCAAACTGATTAAGCAGTGAAATTGAGCAAATTGAAAAGTCCAACACATATATTTAAAATAGCTTATATAATAGCTTATATAAAGTATAATACTTGTATAAGACTTCTGTAAGTTCCTTTCCACAATCTTCTCCTATGGATCAAAGTTTAAACATTACGTTGATTTCTGTTATTTTTTACTTTATATTTTATATTCCTTTTACTAAAGGCTTCTTGATAAATTCTGAAATCTTATTGACTTTTGTTCGTTTTGTGAAAGCACATGTCCGATTTTTGGATTTAAAATTCAACTAAGCTGGAATTTTACCTTAACTGATATTAACAAGTGAAATGGTAACAGCACAATTATTTACAAACAAACAAAAAACACTTGAAAGCTAACTATAAATATTAATTTATTTCCTTACTTCCTACTTACCTTATTAAAATCCCAAATTATTTAAATTTGAACAGTAAGTCGAAGGAAACCTGCTAAAGCAAAAAAAATAGGAGCTTCGGTCAACAATTACCCAATTACTCAAAGTTCCGCTGGCTTTTCCGCCCAGCCAGTAATTAGCTCGTCAAGGGGCCTGACATTCAACTTGAACTTGCCGACAGTTGCTCCATGATCGCAGTGCGTCGGTGTCACGTTGTCGCATCTCCTGGGCTTTTTGTCTAGCTGATTAGCAGAATGCCGCCCGTTGTTTGTGGTTGTAATTTATATGGCTACGCCCACGGTACTGCGCCTGATTTAGGGGCGCGTTACGAATGCGATTCATTAGGCCAGGCATTCAGTCATTTTGCCCCCTGCAAATCTTGACGAGATCTTGTTCTCACAGTTGTCACCTGCTAAACGGTTGACCAAAAGGTTTCCCACCCTATATCGCTTCCATTTCCCAGGCACTTTCTTCAACGTTTTATTTAATTACTTTTTTGACTATTGCGTGGGCCGCTCAATCATCAGATTAATATGTGCCGACACACTTCAAAGCTGGCAGATGATTCATCCGGCATAAATTTAGCCAGCTGAGCTCTAAATTTGATTAGCGGGCATTAATGCAATCGGCACAATGCCAATTAATCGACTTTTGCCAGTGTCAATGTAGGGTTAAGGTAATTGGCAACCGAGAAATGCCGGGTCATGTGGGTGTTGATGCCGCTCGCTGCATTTAGTGCCATTAAATCACCGTGCAGTGACAAGCAGCGGTAATAAATCAAGCAATTTGTGGTTGAGCTGCAATTAAGTGCCATAAGCAGGGATGGATCTGATTGCTCTGAATCTGTGGACCGATCTGTCCCATTTTTCCGCCTTGCGACATTGGCATTCGCGACTGGCAGTGTTAATTAGATGCACTTCTCGTGTGCCCCGTCCAAAAACCAACGAGTGCAAATGCGCACACTTAATTTGCACAAATTAAACAACACGATGTCGAGACATCCAATTTCATCTGGCACTTGCATAAATCATAGAAATCATATTCATTGCCACTTGTTAAAGAATACGGGATATAGATGTTAAAGCAAATGAGAATGAAATTATTTAGTTAGTGCAGAATTTTTCTTGTATTATGGATAAGCAAAATTTTATTTAGCTATAATTATAGTACCTACTATTACGAGTTGTAAAGTCCATTTAAACTGTCTATTGATCATGGGTTTAACGTCATCAGTTTAAAAAAAACCCTTTTAAATTGGAAATAATGAGCGAAGTAGACTATAAAACATTTTTAGTTTTAAATTATTAAATTAATTTTTAAATAAAATTATTTTGCCCCAGATCAACTGGTTCTACATTTTGGGTATATATAAAGACAAACAGAAGCCACTAGATGTTTTGTTCTAAGCTAAAAAAATATTTATTTGGGGCTAACATAGCTCTGGGTTCGAAACGGTTCTGTTTAATGTGTTAATTTTTTGTACATCTTACTTGAATATTTTTGAATACAAATTTTATTAATTTACTTGAACTTAAAGAAATTATAACATTTTCAAGTGACAAAAGAGCCCAGCTTCGCTCTTAAGATAAAATTATACATTGCAGACTTTTAGGCATTGTGAAATAATCATTTGAATCTTTGTGCGCAGATCTCGCAATTTCCGGCCTGGCAGCATGCGGCGAGTTCGCAGGCGGGCGGTGTTTAAAAACGGCGACTGCAATGTGGTGCAGAAGCACCTGCAAAGGCGCCGCGTGCGCTTTCTGCAGGACATGTACACCACCATGGTGGACTGGCAGTGGCGGTGGACTCTGTTGGCCTTTGCCCTCAGCTTCATCCTCTCGTGGCTCTTCTTCGCGCTCATCTGGTGGCTAATCGTCTACACACACGGTGATTTGGAGGAGCTGCACATGCCCCATAACCAAGGTTGGTTAGATATCACAAAACGATGTTGATCTTATTAATGACTGTGTTTCTATCCACCAGAGGAGTCTGGCTGGGCGCCCTGTGTGTCGGCCATTGATGGGTTCACTTCCTGCTTCCTGTTCTCCATCGAAACGCAGCACACAATCGGCTACGGAGTGCGCACCACCTCGCCCGAGTGTCCAGAGGCTATCTTCATGATGTGCTTCCAGTCCATCTTCGGCGTGATGTCATCCGCTTTCATGGCCGGCATTGTGTTCGCCAAGATGACGAGGGCCAAGCAGCGGGCACAGACCTTGTTGTTCTCCAAGCACGCGGTTATTTGTCAGCGGGACGGCTGCCTTTCGCTGATGTTCCGGGTGGGCGACATGCGCAAGTCGCACATCATTGGAGCCGGGGTGAGGGCTCAGCTTATACGGACGAAGAGCACCAAGGAGGGCGAGGTAATGACGCAGTACTTCACGGAACTGGAAATCGGCACCGACGACTCCGGCTCCGATCTGTTCTTCATCTGGCCCATGGTCATCGAGCACAAGATCGATGAGAACTCACCGCTGTACAACTTGAATGCCACCGATATGCTGCAGGACAAATTCGAAATCGTGGTAATCCTCGAGGGCACCGTGGAGTCTACCGGCCAGAGCACCCAGGCCAGATCCAGCTACATTAACACCGAGATCCTGTGGGGCCACCGCTTTGACCCGGTGGTGCTGTACAACAAGGACCTGCAGGCCTACGAGATCGACTACGGTCGCTTCAACGAAACCACCCAGGTGGACACGCCGTTGTGCAGTGCCCGCGAATTGAACGAGATCTACAAGATCCAGGAGGGATTCCGCACACCAGGTATGACATGGAGATGAGTTCCGCTCCAATTCCGCTCTATATATTGTGTTCCGTCCAGCAGAAACCACCTTCACCATGCGTCAACTGTCCCACAATCATTCCGATCAGGCCTCTTAGAGGACGAGGTCCAGTGTTTGCTCTAGTTAGTAACCGTTTTTGTCCTATGTGAGTTGCACTGATCATTGCCTGGAGTTTCACCACTCATACATTGTAGTTTTTCTTACGCAGCTTCCCCCTCGATCCAGTCGGGTTACTCCTGCAGTTCCGGCTATCAGACACCTGGAAGGCAAAGCCGCCTGCGCTGGCAACTCTCGGTGCCCTTGTAGTGTGCTTCCCCGACCATCAATACTTAAATGTACGAGTTCCCCTACGAAAATAAGTTAATAAACGCTTTAGTTTGAGTCTACACCCAAATTGCATGTCGCTGGGCTTGGAAGTCCATACAAATGACACATAATTGCCCTGCTCGCTCCTAGGTAGCAGTTCCAGTCGGGACCAACCCACTCATTAGACATCATTAATAACCCGGTCATATCAATGCAAGAGGTGCCAAAAATGCTCAGCATACTACACAGACACACACACACTCACACTCACTTTTCGCCAAAACAAGTTCGTTGCGGCAGTTTTTTTGTTCGTGGGCGACTAGGGTGGGTATTCTACCAGTAAATCGAGAGGGGCTGTGGCGCTTGCCAGATACATTCATATCCTTTTAATTGAAATTGAATCAATAACTCTTATTTGCGCAAACTAATCAACACTAAATTATAACACTCACAGAAAAACAACTTGAATATTTACTATCGCATTTATCACCGCTCCCAGGGTGGATATCTAATGAAATGTGGGTGTGGGTCAGATGCCTGGTATGCCCCAATGCCCGAGCCATAAATACAATGCCAAATTTCAGCAACTCTATTACAACTCACCCGAAAAAAAATTAAAGAAAAACGGCAAAAAACTGAACCGAAATAAATAGGAACGCAAACGAAATCGAAATGAATGTTGGCTGCCAAAGGCGGGGGCTGTCCCAAGGGGTGAAGTGCAGAACGGTGGTGGTGCAGTGCCTCAGCGGCTCAGTGGTGCTGAGTGCTGTGCAGCGTCCTTAACCCAGTTTCGGGCCCAATTGCAGTGGAGTATGGCAGAACCAAGCAAGCAGCCAGGCAGCAGTCACGTGGGGCGCGCTTTATGTTTAATTACTTGTTAAATGTTTTGTCGCTTTTATCAGCTCACATGCTTAAGAGCCCATTAGCCGGAGTCGAGCACCCACTACTCCTGGCCACGGAGTGACATGCGTCGCTTTTGGGCCTCTTGGCTTTTGGGCGTTTCGGGGCGGGGGACATAAATGTCGATGGCCGCCCGGCTCTTGTGTGATTGGCTTCGCCGAAACGTGCCGGCTGATCGACAGAATTAAAATATTATTCGCGCATGAACCGTTGCAGGCAACGAGCGCCGCATGTGGCACACCATTTGGCGAATGCGACTGAGACTTTTGCCTCCGACTGTGGCACGTTTCAAAGACAAAAGGCGCCACCCAAATGGCCACAGCCACTTGGCCCCGCGGGTCATAATTCCCGCTCCGAGCCCCGAAAAACGCTTGCCAGTTGTGCCAAACAATTTCTCATGTAATTTTTAATGTGCTGCACCGAGGCACGCGAACAATGCATGAACGTGGTCCGTTTGTCAGGCTAACCATTTCGAGTGCTCCTCCCAATTGACATGGAAAGACGTGGAAGCATCTTTCAAAGAGCTCAGAAAACTGGATCAACTTCATGTTTTCAATAAACTATTTTTCCATTACTTTAGAGGTTTGACAATGGATTTTTAGATATTTGATTTAAATGTCAATATTTTCTTTTGCAACTTTTGTACTTTAAAGCATGTTAAGAACTTATGGAGCATAGTTTCTAGAATGAAAATAAGACTATAAGACTCAATTGACATTGATATCTTCCAATAGGTTGGAGGGCAACTTTTTGTAATGAATAAACTATTTTCGAACTGTTTATATAGTCTTACAAGTTATTTATAGTTTCCGAGTTGTTAGTTTTTCTTTTGTAATCAATAAATGTTCCTTTTACATTTAAAGTTTTAATAGTTTTCTGGACATTAATATGGTAACATCAAAGGCATTTACCGCAAGCAGTAATAATCTTTTAGCAATAACCAATATAAAAACAAATATTCATAAATGTGTTTAATCAGATTTTAAAATACATCAATAAACACCAAACAAATTTGACAGCCAACAGTGTGATATAAATGTTTATGTGTATTGCGTTATTTCCAGAGTGAGAATTGAAATAGAATATAAAAATATAATTAAAAGAAATCAATATTAAAACATAGATAAATTAATAATGTTATAGGTACATTATAAATCCAATTTCAAAATCCATCAGTAAATGTCGAACATTACTCCGGCCTCAAAATTCGACAGCCAAGTGGCGACAGTGACTGCGGCCTAATAAAGACATCAATCGGGAGGATGACTCAGGTGGCTTTGTGCACCGAGATTGGGAGGCAGGGAGCTGATAAACGAAGTTGCAAAACAAGCTTGAAATTAACTGCGGTCGGCAGTGCGAACAAAACAAAAGGTAGAACATGCTACATAACTCATCCATAATCAACACTGTTTACATAAATTTCAAAAATTATTACACGGTAACGGTGGCCAAGGGGATTCCGACTCCATCAGGCTGGATGGTTGGGTTCGTTTCGGGACTGCGACTGGGACGAAAACTGCGACTGGAACTGGACCTGAAACCGAGCTTTGGGATCGGGGAGAGAGCGCGTGATGAATGCTTAAATAATGCGCTTAACCCTGTGCGAACATAATTTATGGTGTGCGGATATGCATAAGTACAGTACAAGCCGGTCGGTAAGTGCGGATACACGAGAGTCGGTCAGCACACAGCACACAGCAGACAGCACACAACACACGCTGTTTTCATTGTTATTACACGGACGTTGCCGTTGACCAATCTGTAAGCCCTTTGCCGGCCCCAGCCGCTGCCATTTTGGCCAAATTGATTAATTACGGTCATTCGGGGACGCAGCAGCGCTGCATAAGTAGCATAAAATGCCATAAACCGCCGACCAGGAGTCATTTGCCACTAAGGACAAAAGCCCCCAAAAAATAAAAGAAATTACTCAGGCGTAGCGAACGGGCCAAGAGATCTTCTTCAGTTTGAGAGACCTCGTCGCAGCTTGCCGCAATTGATTTAAGTTGCCCCGCCGAATGACCAGGGAATATATGTACGAGAATGTATATATAATTGTGAATCGCCTCTGGGCGTGCTGCATGTTCTGTTGCAAGTAATAAGCATTTTTATGTCGCAATTGGCCAGGGAGGGGCTCAGGGCAAGCCGAAATAGTGGTTAACACGCCGTTGCCGCTGACATGGTCAACTTGAGGACGTTGGCTGGCTGCCTTCGGGCTAAGCAGTCTCCCCATCTCTCTCTGCTTGAATAATATTGAAATTAATTATTTTTGATGGAAATTATTAAGTAATTTTTATGGCCAGCGAAAATAAGCGGTCTCGTTGAGCCTCTTGCGTCTTCCCTCCTAATTAATCGTGTTTATTAAATAACATAATAAATTAGCGCTTGCACTTGTTGTTATGCTTGCTCCAATTAAGGAAGTGCCACTCCAAGACGATCAAAATGTCTGCGTCTGAAGTCCCGACCAAATTGGCTATCGGGTCAACCGGTTTGTGATGTGTTTTATTTTGGTTATTTTTCTGTTGCCTTGCTTTGTTGATAACGCGCTTTAATTAAAAATCTGCATACATTTTTGGGCAGTTGCAAGACTCGCAGCTTTTTTCCCCCATATCTCTTGTTTTTTAACGAAGACCCGCCAAAAATATCAAAATCAAAAGCGGCGCAGGCTCTTTTATGACAGATCTCACTTTAAAGTTGACGTCCGAGCTGTCAGAAAATAACACTCGAAGACTGGGGAGACGATGCAGTTTCCCCCGTGTAAACGTATGTTATTTTGGTGGATTTCTGATGTGAAGTGAAGTTAATTTAGCGAACTTCGACTGACACAAAAGAAATTTAACAATGAGTCGTAAGCTTCTACTTGATGCACACTTGCTTATAAATAAACACTTCAAAAGGGCAAGGGCCTCTCTAGAAAAGTTCAGCTTGTGCTATTGATTATATTACATTTTTGGAAAAATATAGATTACTCAGTTCGAATAACGTGAGATTTTTTGCATTATAAAACCACAATGTATTAAGTCAATTCCAGTTGATGCTCAATTTTTGCACGCTTATCCTTCATGGTTGCTTTAACGAGTTCCAGATAAAGAGCCGTCTTAATTTTTCAAAATTATAACCTTCATGCTTGATTGTTTTCTGACGAAGCTGGATGCCTGACCAGAGAGTTCAAAGGCCCCAAAATCGGCTTGTACTAACTAGGCAATATAGCTGAGCCGAAAACCATGAATCACTTTGCGGCATTCATAAATAAGACATTTATAAGCGTCTCTATCCAAATGACCGAATCACAAATGTGTAATTTTATTTTATTTCGAACTTCTTGATGGGTTTTTCAACGGCAGTGGAACCTTTCACATTTGCACATCATAATGTTTTTGGCTTTGGCCTTTTGGAAAGTCTTGCTTCGGACGCCTGTGAAAATGATCTCAGATTTGGAACGAAATTTAATGGGTGGAGATCTGGGCATTTTCAAGATGATTCCCCGTATGCTGTAAACAATTTGCAAATGGCTGGGGCAGCTTTATCTTAATGATGCATAATAAAATTATGGCGGCAATCAGCCGAAATCAATAACAGGCTGCAGAGAAAGTAATTATTGGCCGCTCAAGTGGCTCCGACACCCGTCAAATCACCGCCAAGTCTCTTATCCGATAAGAGGAGCTTGGGATAAGATGAGTAGCGGCCGAGATGAAAGTTGGGGTGGGGCAGTGGACAGTGGACAGGGGGCAGTGGGCAGTGGGCAGTGGCAGCCCTGGAATCCATCTCAAATGTGGCGGCTCGTTTGCACCCATCGTCACTTGATTGAAGGCCCAGAGTGCAGAAGCAGGCAACAAATCAACGCCGCGGCTGGACTTGCCTTTGCAAACTGACCTACAGCAGCAGCCAGCAGCGGATTGCAGATACCAGTTCCTGGCCCGCACTTTTATTGATGCAAATTGTATGCCCTGGGCCCTGTAATCAGTCCGAATCCGAGGGCTCTGTGCGTGCAATTTGAGCGACAAGTCGATCCCCGCCGCCGGACGGAATTGGGTCACATTCGGTTGCGTGGAGCTCACTTAACTGCGATGATTGGCCAAATGCAAAGGCAAAAGGCTAGTGGCGGCGCCACCTAGCGCCCGCTAGAGGCACTACCTGCTTGATTGACAGCCCCTTCTGGGATGAAGATGAATGCCCTTGTGCGGAGCACTGTCCTTGCTGTGTAACGAGCTTTAAATATCTTCAATTACAGGCTGAGATTGCATAATGCACCCCACCTTCCTGTTTCTCCCCCTTCGCGAGGCTTTGAACTTAATACAGACGGACGGACGGACGGACGGATGGACATGGCTTGATGGACGACAACGGCACGCCAGGAGGTCATGTCACAAAAATATCCATTAACACATCATAAAAATTAAAAATTAAGAAACCATACGAGCGAGGCAATAAAACCGCAATGCCTGTAAAATAAAATATCTGTACGGGGGAAATAAAAAAAACGCCAAGGCATGCCAAGATAATCGCAGACGAGAGAGAGAGAAAAGTGAAACCGGTAATTATGCATTATGTATGCACGCCACCAACGCGGCGGATTAAAATGAGGAGCTGGCGACCAGGATAGCTAGCGACTTTTGCGAGAGCCGGCTTACTGTCTGCCCACGCTAAGTAGGAAACACATTGCTGCCTTGCTGCTGCTGCTGCTGCATTTTCGGCAATTTACGTGCCTTGGCGCGCGACCCGCAAACAAAAGACTTAAGCGACGAACCAGCAGTAACATAAATTTCACTTAATTGCAGAAGGCACAAAAACAGAAACCAGAATGCATTCAATCGATAAACAGAGTGCAACGAATAAATGAGCTCGGCACGCAGGCAAAATGCTTAATACCGCTGGTCTCGCAAAAAATATGCAAAGCACATAAAATTAAGTAAAACAAAAGCTGCCCAGAACATTTATCTCCACTTCGATTGCGCTTCCATTGAAATGCATGTGGAGCAGTTCAACGTCTTCCGCCTGAAGATCGCCGCTTGCAAATTTGTCGCCAGATCAGCAAACCACTTCCCAGTAGCAGTAGCTCATTTTCATTGTACCGATGAATACCTGGACACTCAGAGAAATTGTAATAAAAGAGCAAAGTAATCTTTGCATAAGTTCGACCAAAGAAATATATTATAAAGATTATATTTGTAGGTCCTCTTTAATATTTAAAGTTTTATTAAATAAAATATTATTAAAAATATTGGATTGATGGTTTAATGAAAACATTTGCATGCAGACAGAAAAACTGGTTTGTTTGGTTCTGTTTAATAGGTAAGCCTAAACACCTTTGAACATTTGCATTTTCCTATTTGCAATTATAAAATTTCAAGCTATTTCCTTTAAGTGTAAGCAACTCACACTCGAAATTTTTACGTCGTTTTTTGACCATTTTTTCCCGGCAAGTGTTAAAGTCAACAATCGTGAGAAAAGAATTTTATTGTTGTTTCGCCTGTGTGTGGGGCTGCACTTTTTTCATGCCTTTTCTGTCTTTTTGTTTATTTTCATTTTACGGATACTGAAGGTCACTCTGCCTTGATTGCTGACTGTGGCTGGGCCAACTTGAGCTCAAGTTGAATTCAGTTTTTCGTATCTTTTTGGCCTTTTTTCGGCTGCATATGATGCCCGCCAGTCGCAGTCGGCCCCAGTAAGCCCCAGAAGTTGCCTTTGTGGAGCTCGCCTTTATATATCTCTTTTCTGGCCTGGCTTCCCCCTTTATGCCGCGCTCATGTTAAATTGTCCGTTTCATGTTTCTGCTTAAATGTCAGTTGTAATTTGTTGTATTAACCCATACCACATGAATTATGTTTAGTTCGAATGTAATTGATTTGAATGCAATTTGAATGGCAACAACACAGAACAACGGCCGCACGGCAACAACAATGGCAATGCCAGTATTAAGTATTAACAATAACAGCCACAGGAGCGTCGTCGGCAAGGCAAATTGAAAATTGCCCTCAACTCTGGCCGAGATTAAATGGAATTATGCAAAAGAGCTGCCTGGGAACGGTCTGCGGCGATCCGAACACGATCTCAATGAGAACTTCATCAAGCAATGGGTGCAGCTGGGATGAAGTGGTGAGGTGTTGCTGTTGCCTTGGCTAACAATGTTATCGATACATGTCGACGGCATTAAGTCAGCTATCGCATCCTATCGCTCCTGACAAATCTAGTCTTTTTTAGAGCAAACGACAACCCTAAAAAAGTAAGAAGTCAGACAAATCTCAACAACCCAAGAGTTTTCATTTAAGAAAGCTGGAAAGGGAAAAATTCAGTTCACTTTCGGAGAGAGCCCTATATTTTGTAGTAGAAAGCCTAGTACGCGAAATACACTATTCCAATTGCAATTCTGTGACCATGATCGCTAACCCGTGCATATTCTGTTTAGATGAGCAGCGCTTTCCATGCCGCATATCCTGCGGTCATTCCTTTTGCACCGAATGTTTTGGCAAATACTTGGAACTGGTGCGGGACTCGCGATGTCCAATATGCAGACGCGATTTCAGGACGGACTTTCATCCTACTCCCGCTGATTCCGGTCGAGTGACCTTCGCCTCCACAGAGGATCCGGAATCCATGGTATCACCTACCGAGGCCGAGATGGACACACTGGTGCTGACACTTTCGGAGCAGGAGTGCCGCTTTTTTGAGCAGCTTTACCGGGAACTTCAGTTGGTGGACACTCGGGAATAGATGGCCCGTGAAAGCCAGCAAGTTCCTGCCAACAATCTGTGATTCTTATTGTTTTCTACTTGTATATATATTGTGTAAAATAATTTATAATTGACCTTATTGGCTAATATTTCCCTTAATTATTTTTTGGACAGTGTCATACTGACTGAAGATTGTATACTTTTGTATAATAATTTCAAATAAATAACACAAAAAGAACTACGCCGCTTCTTTTTATAAGTAATCGTATTTTCTGAGGAAAAGAAGGCCCACAAACCATTCCTACTTCACTAAGAAGCTGAAAGAAAACCCTAAGAACATTTAAGTGGTACCAAAATCAAAATAAATGTGAGCTTCTGGGGCAGATCGACGGCTTAGTCAGGTGCCGACCAGGCCCGGCTATCGCCATCTGCGCTATTCCGGCGACTGCTCATCCATCTGCAAGTGCTAAAGCTGCGCCATCGATCAGCACTTGTATCTGGTCGTGCAGGCGCAACTTAATTAGACGCTTAGACTGGCTAATTGCCGTGGATCCGGGGCTGATAAATTGATATGCCCGCTCGCAGATGAACAGCTAACGATGGTCATTACCAGAAGTGACAGCGGCAGTCGCAGCAGCAGCAGCAGCCAGTTGGGCGACTGAAAAATGGTGCAAAAATGTTTATTAAATGTCCATGGCTGACCAACGGTCAGTGGAGCATGCCCAGCCCAAGCCCCCAAACTCCCAAACTTGCAAACTCGCAGCTCTGGCTGCATTTGTTTGTTTGCCGTTGTCTTTTTTGGCGCTTTATCGCACGAATCATTTCTGGCTGGCCATTTTGACAGCGTTTTGAGTCAACAACATGGCGCATGCAGCAGATACAAATCTAAGCGGCACATTATGCAACGGCCGGGCGATCGTGCAAATGCTAAGAGCCAAAAACTATCTCATGGATTTGCGCAATTTGTCATCCTGGAATCGGAATCTGAATCGGAATCGCAGGCAAATTTTGTGGGAAGGGGGGAAATGCAGGGGGATGAGGGGATGTCTGAGAGTGCGTGTGTGCGGGCGTGGCCGGCAAAACAGTTTTATTGATAAGGCTTGCCAGACGACTTCGATATTGCATTTAGTTTGCCAATTATTAATGCCCCTTGTCGCCGGCCTGCGTGTAATTTGTGGCAGTTGTTCGAGCTGCTGAACTGCTGCACTGCACTGAAATGCGATACACACCGGCGATTGCTCATTTATGAATGTCCGGCGATGGCCGCGATGTGTGATCGTCAATCTTCGAACTTAGCCACGCTTACATGTGATTTAACAAGCTAACAAGCTGTGCCTTTATCGCCGATTAGCTGCACCCGATAGTGCTGGCCAAACTCTGGGCCAGGGTTCATCGAACGCTCGGCTTTCAACAGATCGCCGCATGCAACACACACACACAGTAACGTACCACATTTTTAGCATTTTTATTATCGCAAGTCATTTGTCAAATTGCTAAACTGACATTAAAGCCGCCTTTCCTGTGGGCTGATAAACCAATTTGACATTTTAGCCGGCGATGATCGATGGCTGCGCGAGATTCGCCCGATCCACCCAAATCGCCTGGGAGTGCAGCCTGGTGACATTTTTGCGCCAATTTCGGTCGCTGGGCCATCAGTTAAGAGCCCCAGCCATCAGCCATCAGCCATCAGACCTCAGACCCTCAATTCGCATTTTTCGCTTTCAGTTTTGCTGCTTTTCGCCTCGCTTTTTTCGGGGGGCTTTGTTTTGTTTGGAGTTGCCGTTTGCATGCGTGGGAGTTGCACGAATTGTGTCGTTAAATAATGCTCCATGTTTGTCCTGCACGAGACCCGCGAAACACACAAAACGAAACGAAACCAAACCAAGTCAAACAAAACGAGTGCACTGGGCGAAAAGCGAATTCAATAGTCTGTAATGAACAAATTCATAAATTCAGAAATGCAGAACGAATTTATCTTGAAAAAAAAAATAAATAGTAAGCTCCTATACTCATATAATAAATAAATTTGTTACACAAATTCATTCGGGGCTAGTGTATAAAATATATATTTTTAGTTTTTTACATAATTACAAGAACATTTACCAAGAAAACTTTGTAAAATAAGACCGCTAAGAAAGGTATATAAAATCACCAATATACGCAGGATTAAAACAAGTCATTTATTGTAAGATTTTGTATTTTTAATTAACTTTTATGTTTTCAAGTTACTCATCCGTCGATATACATATATTCCTTCAACTTATTTTGCGGCAAAAAAGGTCATTAGGTTAATTTTTTGTAAGGTTATTGGAAGAGAATTATGACTTTTCAATTTTATTTTAACTTTAATTTGTTCTCTAATAACTCTGTTGATCTACAAATATTTCGGAATAAATTGAATTTTAAATATTAAGGTAATACAAAATTAATTAGTATTAGTATTATTATTATTATTATTATTGTCAAACCTTTATTATAAGTTAATTTATTTGTTAAGAATTAATTAAATTTCCAAATTAAACATTTATAAAATGTAAAGTTTAGCAATGTTTTTTGCAGTGCCGACAAACAACAGAAACAAAACTGGTTGGTTTGGCCGAGAGCGCGGAAGCGCTGCTCAAATGGCAACTGGAGCAGCGTTTTGGGTGGCCGGACGGATCGGGTCCAGTTGGGTCTTGAGACTGGGGTCTCGAGCTTGCAGTTTGGAGTTTGGAGTCTGGAGTCTGGAGATCTACTCTAGTACCATTACTAGTACATACCTGGCAGCAGCCGTAGCCGAGCCGGCCTTGCATTTGATGTTTATGCTGCTGCCGCCGCCGCCGCGCCGCTTTGTTTAATTGATAGACAACGATGACTGCGACGACCCACGCGGCGGAGCTGCGGATCTCTGGTGGTAGTGCGGATTGGCGGATCTGGCTTCCAGGCCAGGAGGAGGAGGAGTAGCAGGAGCAGGAGCAGCAGGAGCAAAACTGGCGGCACGCGATGCCTTGGATCTTTACCTCTTTGGCGGCCGGCCGCCAGTGGCAGGCAGCCCATCGAACTCAAACTGTGCGCATTCGCATGCGCATGGGCATGCAACAGAATGCGACGTCGCGGCGTTGACAGATTGATGCCCCCTAACTCAGACCAAGCCCCCGCTTCATTATTCAAATTACTTGTGTGTTTGTGCGGAATTTATCAAAGTCCACCCGCAGCCACAGATGTTTGAGAGGAGGAAAAGCGGGTGAAATGGAAAATGGGAAATGGGAAATGAAGGCTAAGGTTAGCATGTGGACCAGTTGTTTTTTTTTTTGGCGTGTGTTCGCGTGGGCGTTAAATGCTGTTTTCCTCTGCTCGAAATAAAACTATTCGCAGGTCAGTTAAGATAAGTTCCAACGTGTCCCATTCAAACTTTCCTTTTGGCTAAGGGCAGCTCGCCAAAAAAGTGGAACGGAACGCGAAAGGTATATGTGACTGCGCAAACTGTGCAAATGTGAATATGACTCCGAGTGCAACTGGGTGCGGCATGAATTCTCATAAATCTATGGCCCAAAAATCAGCAGTGTACATATGTAGATAGCTATATACACATGCTGGCTGGAGTAATTAAAGCAGTTTAACATGTCTGTGAGCCTGGCCAGTTTTCGGAGCTGTCACAACATCAACAAGCCTTCATTCATGCTCTGCGACAGCCAAAAGCCAGCCAGTTAGCAGAGGTCCGTCATTCCGTCAGTATGGCAGTCTGTCAGTCAGTCAGTCAGTCAGTCAGTCAGTCAGTCAGTCAGTCAGTCAGTCAGTCAGTCAGTGAGACAGTCGGCCAGCCAAAAACTTGCCATAAATCAACTCATTTGAAATGCATCAAAGGCAGCAATCAGAAACAGAAACAGTAACAGTTACAGACACAGAAACTGCTCAAAAGAAAAACGCAGTCAGTTGCACAAATATTTTTACACGTACCAGCGATTTCCAATTGAAATCGAACACAGTCAGCGGAAAGTGACAATGCGCGGGCGGGGCAACAACTACGGTCGACAGAAAAAGCAACAAAAAATAAATCAAACTAAAAGCTTGGTAGAGACCCAGAAAACACCGCTCAACTGTCCAGCGGGCCATTCGTGTTGCACAATGTGTGAAAACAGGATCAGAGTCCTGCCTAAACATTTGTCAACCCAGCGGCGCTTATGTAATCAACAATGCAGATTCGGTCGCCTTCTCCACCGCCGCCAATTAAACAGTTTGTCTGCTGGCCGGCAACAAGCATCAATCAAATCGATTGAAATAGTTTGGCTTTTGGTCAGACTACTACTGTCGTCGAAATCGCCCTCGGAATGCAGATTGTCGTCCGTTGGCTTATGACAGGCTTCTGGTTTTGGGGCGTGGCCATTATTAGCATCGCCGGGCCGCAGTGCTTAATTGATTCGGTTGTTGGCCATGTTAATTGACAGCACGCACGGATGTAACATTGCGATAGAAGTTGGCTGACAAGGGCCCAGTTAGACGTAGTTGGCCAGTTGGCCAGTCGGTCGTCAGTTGTCAGTCAGTCGGCTGGTCGAGCTTCACTTCCACAGAGTGCTCCAAGCGCAATCGCAATGGCAGTCGGTAAATTTCACTTATCAAGAGCGAAACAATTAACGGCCGCTGCACGAGCCATAAATATAAATGTCGGAGGACGTCTGGAGCCCTGCGATTCGTGAGCAGCCTGACCCACATGCAATTGGCAACTGCCAGCAATTTGCCACCTAAGCGAGAATTATGAGCGCCAGCATTTTCCGGGCCCGATAAGGCGGCACAACTTATGCGCAAATGCGGCTGTCACAGGCCAAAATGCAAGTTCGAATCCAAATCCAAGTCCCAATCCAAACGCGATGCCAACTTCCCACCAGCGCCATGCCATGGAAAAGTCAACAGCCAGCAGAGCCAGAGCCGTTTCGTTATAATTTCTATTATTTTCCCTTTTGGCATAATTGCAGACAATTTACTTAACGATCAATAGCGTCAAACGGCAGGCAGGCTGGCAAACTGGCAGTATGGCAACAGACGACGTGAAATTTATTAGCTCCCGCAGCTTCAGCCTCAAATTCAGCTTCACATTCAGCTCGAGCTTCGGATCTTGGCCATGTGTTGGCCTTTTGGCAGCACACACACAACCTATATCCGCGTGAGAGCCGCTCTTCGTGCCCGGTTTTCTATCCTTGAGCCTCGACTTAAGCTAATGCTCTGTGCTCC